GGATACACTTGGAATACAAGTCAGAAGTTAGACATATGGCATTTGCCTAACAAGTATCAGCTATTCTTGCATTTTGAGTAGATGATTTGGAAGAGAAACAAAACTTTGACATCATTTAGGATGTATGTCACCAAATGCTTGTTGTAAGTATGTCCTATTTTCTCATTTTTAGATTTCAATCCTAGGAGGGATACCATCAATGGCAAAGAAGGAACACATGTGCAGCAGTAGAACAGCACCTGATTCAAAAGTCACACTGGGAATTCTTTGCTTTCTTTGCCAAAGACTTTTGACTCTGAACTCTCACATCAAAGCTGCTCGTCTCATTCAAGTCTGGTGGAGGATGCTGAAAGCAATTCAGATAAAGACAACAAGGCAAATAAAGTTGAAGGTGGGTCATTTTTCATTTCCTTATAATGTGATAACCTTCAGTGGGATGAGAGGCAATCATGATCATAATGTAGATAGCAATTTGGTTTTATTCCTGATAGCTTATGCTCCTATAAAAATGTGAGAATAATGAAGGAAAAAAACCTAAAATTTGAAGGAAAAAAACCTAAAATAAATTAGGCCTACTTTGCCACTACCAAGATAATTAAAGAAATTGAATGATGTTTACTCTGTTTTCAATAGGAACAAGAAGAGAAGGAATATAGAAAGAGGGAGGATGCAGCTCTCAAGCTTCAAATCTTCTGGAGAAAACACATTGCAAGGAGAAAGTTCCTTCATCTCCAGGAATATCAGATGAAGAGTGGGGCAGCAATAAAAATCCAAAGCCATTGGAGGAAATATTATGCCCAAAAAAGTTATCAATTACAAAGGCAGAAAATTGTTCTTTGTCAATCGCAAATAAGGACAGTGTTGGCACAAAATCGATTACGGTCTTTGAGATCAGAACATCAGAAGAGAAACAAAGCAGCAGTTCTAATACAGTCCTTACTTCGACAAAAGTTGGCCTACAAGGAATATCAGGAGTTAAGGACAGAGAAAAGGAAAAACTTGGCTGCACAGAAAATTCAGAGCTACTGGAGGATGCATGTTGCTCAGAAGGAGTTCTCTAAAGTCAGGGAGAAGATCATCCTCATTCAATCTCTTGTCAGGCAGAAGTTGGCTTACAAGGAATGTCAGCAGTTGAGGACAGAGAAAGGGAAGGACTTGCCTGCAAAGAAAATTCAGAGCTACTGGAGGATGCATGTTGCTAGGAACGAGTTCTTGGATGTCAAGGGAAAGGTCATCCTCATTCAGTCCATAGTTCGACAGAAATTGGCTTACAAGGAATATCAGGAGTTAATGACAGAGAAAAGGAAGAACTTGGCTGCACTGAAAATTCAGAGCTTTTGGAGGACTCATGTTGCTCAGAAGGAGTTCTTTGAAGTCAAGGGAAAGGTCATACTCATCCAGTCCATAGTTCGACAGAAATTGGCTTACAAGGAATATCAGCATTTGAAGGCAGAGAAAGAGAAGAATTTGGCTGCTGTGAAAATTCAGAGCCACTGGAGGATGCATGTTGCCCAGAAGGAGTTCTCTGAAGTTAGGAGAAAGTTCATACTCATTCAGTCCATAGTTCGACAGAAATTGGCTTATAAGAAATATCAGCATTTGAAGGCAGAGAAAAAGAAAGAAAGGGCTGCACTGAAAATTCAGAGCTTTTGGAGGATGCATGTTGCTCAGAAGGAGTTCTTTGAAGTCAAGGGAATGGTCATCCTCATTCAATCTCTTGTCAGACAGAAATTGGCTTACAAGAAATATCAGCATTTGAAGGCAGAGAAAAAGAAAAATTTAGCTGCAGTGAAAATTCAGAGCCACTGGAGGATGCATGTTGCTAGGAAGGAGTTAATGGATCTCAAGGGAAAGATGATCCTTAGGCATCCTTCGGTCCAAATGAATTTGGCACCATTGGATTTGCAGAGAATGAAAATGAAGATCAACTCGCTGGAGCAGAATGAGGCTGCTTTTAAAATTCAATGCTGCTGGAAAATGCATCGATGTCATTCCCAATATCAGACCCTCAGGAAGCATGTCATTCTGATTCAAACCCACTTTCGCAAGAGGCGGCAAGCTGCTATAACAATTCAGGTGAAGCACATAGTTTGACTCTTTACTTCTATACCCACTGATTTTAAGATATTAATGATTTCCATCTCATCTATTATTTCATTCATGTTAGTGAAATCTTTCAGTCTGAATGGGTAGGTTGAAAAAGAGACATAGAAATTGGAAAAATAATCCTAAGTGACCAGTCCAGATATCAATTGTCCTGCCTTTTGTCAAAGATGGACATTTTGATCATTGCTGCTTATTCAAAGAACATGTATGTCTATAACCTGTACAATGTGAAAACTGAAGACAACAGATTCAGTTTGTTCCGAATTGTGTCCCTAAAGCAAGGAACAAAATTTTTAAGCCTAATTGTAACCTGTGAATAATTCATTTTTTATGCTTTCAACTGTCATCAAGAGGCATATTTTCTCTTATTTGTTCCCTAGTCAAGATCAACTGATAATCTAAATTTCCCCCTCCAGTCTACCATTGGACTACCTCTTTAAAGATAATGTGGATTGGCATGTGTGAGCTCTCTGCCCACAGGTAAGATGGTCCCCCATTTTCTCATCTCTGAAGGCATGTAACTAACCTCTTGATGAAACTTTCAGCATAAGCAGCTACATCTGCTAACCAATGTTTTCCTGACGTCCACTTCCTAATAAGTAAAAATATGTCATTCCACAACAAGAGTCTTGCTTCAGGCTTATATCAATTGAACTGGACCCCCATATTGTTTTGCAGTTTTCTACTTGGTTTGAATGTAAAGATCTCCCCACATTCTTTGTAATGAAACCCTCAATGATAGTAATTATCTGATTGAGACTTGATCAAGATCATCACATCATATCAATACATGGGGTCCAAAATCTGGATATGTTGGGAACACACCAAAAGTAATGCCTCTCATTTTATCTACCACAAACTACTTGCAGCATGAGCTTTAAAATGCACATGCATATGCTTTTGAATATCCTCCCATTCCTACCCAGAATGCACCACCATGGTAGCAATTCAAAGCTATGAAGTTTCATGATGTCTATCTCAAGCAGAGAGCAGCATTTGGATTCCTTACAAGTGTTATAGTACCATCAATAGACATTCAAAGTTAAATATCAGTTTTTTTTTTTTTTTTTTACTGATGACTGTATCATTGAGTTCGCTCAGTGAATCATGTGAGAATGTGAGATCAGCCAGGCTATCAGTGGTACTCCCATCAGTTCTCCTCCCTTCCTTAAGTCAGGAAAAGACTGAATGCTGAGGCTGAAGGGTCAAGCCATTTAACCCCTTGCATCAAAATAACGAACCTGACTCGTGGCCATAGCGAAGTGCTGAACAGCTACATCATGAGTCAGACTCGTTCATCATTTCCAACTCCTCTTGGCTCTTCAGTTTTGACTGGCATTAGAGTTACGTTCTGTGGAAATTCAGTGAACTATTTCTTGTTTTTATATATCATTTGGTTTTTGTTTGGTTGCTTCTCAAGTAGATGGCATTACCATGATACTAATACTTATTTTGAAGTCTTTGTGCATTCTTTGGAGATTTAGTGACCTCCTGCTTGTTTTTATGCATTGATACAAGCCTTCTTTTATTGTAAAATACCAACAATAACAGGCATATGTTCCAAGTACCCCGGAAAAATGTTGCGTAGGAAAAGAAAGCATTTGGTGGAAACCCAAATAGAGGAATACTTTTGCAATAGCAATGAAAGTGAGTATTCCAGTGAAGAAGAAAGTAGTGGTTGCAAAATTTATTCTGATAGTAGTGATTCCAATAGTGATGATGATTATTCAAATACAATACTTTTCTGTGCATAAATATGCAGCTCCTGTGTAATATAATCTGCGAAAGTCGTGAAGAAAGGATGTCTGGAAACAAAAATGTTATAAACAGTGTATTTTAATGCTGTCAAATTATATCATATTATAATTGTTACCAGTTTGATGTTTATTTTATAACTGAATTTCCATTTAGTAGAGTATATAGTGTCTTTACCCTGAAAGTTTTATGTCTAGCTTGTATAGTTTAGTTTGAAAATGACTATAGTTAACACAACAAGAAATAGGCAGTTCCTGCCATTTTAAATATGGCTCCAAGTCATGTGGATGGCCATTTAAATAAGGATTGAAGGGGTTAAGGTCCTGTTAACTGACTAGGTTCTGGCTATTGTCTTGTAAAATAGGCATATTCCTGATGCGTTTTCTACCAAAACTTTTTAAAGGAGAAATCTTGGCCTGTAATAATTCAGTATGTCTTTATATGTGTGTTGGAATTTAACGGGCATGGACCCATATATGGGTTTTAAAATTTAGCGCTTTGACGGGCCTTCGCCTATATATTACTTTTGTCCTGGAGTCTGTCAGGAAGTGCTGCCACACCTTGGCGTGTGCAGCAACAGGTTACTGTGGCATTTAACCCATCGAAAGAGGCTGTATGGGTATCCAATGCGCACTGTATACACCTTGTGTCTGAGACTGTCCTTGTTCTGTAATGGTGTGCCTGGTAAAAATTTGTGGAATGGAAAATTTGTGTATATGCTTATATATATTATATATAAAGTGTCTACATCACATACATGAAGAACATGAACAAAAATACTCTGAAGGAGCATGTTTTCTGAAGGTGTTGAAAAGTGTGAAAAAACTGGCCCTTGAAAGGGTTAACTAACAGTACACCAGCTAGTTGAAGAAATATGGCAATAGATTATGCTGTAAATCATATGAAAATGCCTGCTGAGTTACCTTGATGTCTCTTGGTCACAACAGGCATGCAAAGTCGACATTTTGAACCAATTACCTTTTGAACTTTGTGAAACATCACATGTGTAATATGTAATACATGAAAATGAATTTGCATGCCAAAGCCAAATCTTGAGTTATGTTCTCTGATTTTAATACTGCAACCATATCAGTTTCAGTGTTGGTGTTGAATTCTTTCAGAAATGCTGGAGAGGTTATATGTCACGGAAGGTGAACTCGGATCTTTATCAGCGCCTCTCTGGCATAAGGGGAAGAATCAACGATCCAGCAAATGCAAACCAGCCAACACTCTCTGAAAAGCTTCAGGGAGGCTTGGACCTGTTCTTTCACTACACTTACCTGTCAGAAGTCATTCTTGCCATGGAAACCCTCCGTAAGTCCTTGCTTTACCTTCAAGGCTGGAAACATGATAGCAAAAGCTAACTTTTTGCTCTTGGGTACCATCACTGCCAAGTGAAAGGAAGAAAATGTAAGGCTAGATCAAGTCATGTTATACTCTTACTTTTCTCATTTTTCACATTAGGTCAGTGGTTCTCTAACTTGGGGATACAACCCTTAGGTTCCTTCTCAGCCTTGTCAAGGCACTCAAGGAACACACTACCTGTGGTCCTTGAACTGTTGCAATTTTTTATGCTAGCAATTTTTTTTTTTCATCTTATCAAGAAAACATTTCCTGTGGGGTAGGCCCTATTCCCTGGTATTCCTCTCAAAAGGATAGGGGGCATAATGTTATGCCTGAGTCAATAGGGGGCATGAACATAAAAAGTTTGAAAGCTGCTGTATTAGGTCATTCCAAGTAAGCTTGATAAAATAAATTCAAGCTTAGTTTTTTCTTTGTTTTTATAGGCTGACAAAATACCTCTGTGACAGATATAATTGAATAATATAATTTTCCAGCAAAAAAGAACTGAGCAATGGAGGCAAGGAAAGGAGGTGTTCACCTGAACAGATCCTGAGCCCGGAGGCATTCTGACTCTTATTGACTCCCATCTCACATTCCCTATGACATTGTCTCATTTCCCTTCTTGCAAGGACATAAATTCAATTGGAGAAAGAGGGCCATGTGTAATTCTTCCTTGAATGGGGTGGAGGTAGGGGACCAGATGTAGCACTGCCTCAAGTGGGACTCAGGGTTCCAGGCAATTTTCTCTTTCCCTCCTGAGGATACCCCACCTTTCAGAGCTTTTTTTTTAAATAGTATATTCCTCATGCAATCATTAGACTGTCAACTCAAGATCATGCCACTTTTTTTATCCATTAAAATTGAAAACTATTAGTTCATTAGTATTCAGGTATAAGAAATGCCTAGAGACATAAAGCCATTTAGAAGATATTGGATCATGCTTTTCATTCTTATTAGGACTTCAATTCTGACTGCAGACTGAAATAAGGCTTCATCATCAAGCCCAACATCTAGCTTTACTGCTTTTGAATGTGATTCAGCATGATTCTTACTCTGTTTTTTTACTGATGGGTTTTGGACTTCCAGTAGGTATCTAATGCATTCATATGACTCATTTTTCATATGAAGGAGGAACTGAAAAGCAGTAGGCATTTTTAGACAGGTAGTCAATCATGAAAGAGTAGGCTGTGGCATATCCAAGTTGTGAGGATCTAACTTGGAGCCCATTTTAGGACTATGACACTTTGATATTAGTGCTACAATGTACTATGCCTAAAATTGGGAGGGAGAGGTTTATGATTGTATCTTTCCTGTATTTCTATCTTGAAGGTAAAAGCAGTGAAGTTTCATGGGAATGTTGTATGGATATCTGCAATATGGGAGGCATAGATCAATTCACTCAGCTTCTGAGTAGCTGCAACAGATCTGAGCCTCACTTTGATATTGTTCAGAGGAGCATTGCTGTGCTCTGCAACATCAGCAGATGTCCTCAGACTCGTCATTTTATTTGGCATGTAAGTAGTGATTATGATAAATACCATTGCCTTCTTTATGAACCTAGCTTTAAGAATTTATGTTTTGTGCTAGAATCGAAGTCTGATTGAAGTGATGCTTGCACAAGGTGAGCATTTCTGGGTTGTGCACCCAGATCTCATGTCAGCAATCTGCACCACAATTCAAAACAGCTGCAAAAACAATGGCAAATCCCTTATGGTAAGTTCAATTCCCAATTATCATAATATGAAGTGTTGTTGTTGCTGGTCATCAATGTTTCAAGTGTCATGAGAGCCAATATCTATTGTCATTAGAAATATATCTATAATTATGGGGATTATTGATAGTTGAAGTGATCATCCTATATTGCCTAAATTAATTAGTATTTCCTCTACTAGGAAATGGAAGAAGTAGGATGCAAATTTTTTTTTTCTCAAAGGGACAGTTATAATGTTTTATAGGTCCATTCCAATTTTTACTCATCCTGGTAAACAAATATCCTGTTTCATGTACCATGGGGGATTCTGTGTAAAGATGCATACTAAATTCCCTATGATGTCACTCCATTCTGTCCCTAAAAAACACTAAAATCATAGGTAGAACACACATTAACAGGCTACAGATTTCTAATAGTCTCCACTTTGAAATGTCTACTTCCAGTTTTTGCAGAACAACACAACTGTTGTTCAGCGCCTCAGAATCGTCTATAAGAAGTGGAAGAGGGAGAGGCATTTCTTGGTGAAACTCTCAAGCAAATCTGGTCTGAGAAATTCAAACATGGTGAAGTTGGAGAAATTGAATGCACTTGAAACTGTGCTGATTCCTCTCCTGAGGGATTTTGGTGAGGACCTAATTGAGGAGAAGCCTGATTGAGGGAAGGTCACCTGTCTGTGATGTTGATAATGCTTCCTTTTCCTTGGAGATGCCTCATTGTATACAAAGAGAATGGTTATTCCATTTCAAGTTATATTGGTTAATTTTTTTCAGTGCTTCATAGACCCCTTTCATTTAATGCCTCATAAGAAATAAGCTTTCTGCAATAAATGCTCTGCAAGGAATAACTAGGAAAATGTCCTAACACTGTTGCTGCTCCATCTAATGTGAAATGTCTTCAACTTGGAGTGTGCAGTGAGTAGTGATTTATTTGTGATTGTGTGCAACTTTAACGTCTCGCTCTTCATTATTGACTCATCACTCATGTTCAGATTCGTTTATCAGGTATCAGGTTTTTTTGTCATCCAAGCAAGTATTTATCAGTTTATCTCCATTTTCACTTGTTCCAGTTATCAAAATCCTGGACTAATAAGTTTGATTTTTTTTTTTTACTTCAAATAAAAAAAACTGAGAATAAGCCAGCCCTTACCTGTCTTCATATCACCTCAATTGATATTAGTTAGGCCTACTTGATACTAAGGCTATCCTGGATATAAGTATCATTAAATAAGGGTGGCTTCCATTTTTCAAATTGGGATAAACCAAAAAACAGCCATGATCTGAAATGGGGTTTCATATTTTCAGTTTTAACTTCAAACAACTAAAGGACAAAACCCTCAGTATTTCCTGCATGCATTGCTAGTGCTGAGCATACAACATTTCCGATCATGCAATGGGAAAATTGTCAGAACAAAGAACCCTTTCTAAAGTATGTCACTCCTGCAGCAACTGTGACACAAGGCTGACCTAATGGGAGCTGGATAGTGTGATCGGCTAAAATGTATTATTTGGAGCTGTGCTTTGAATATTGGGCATGTTCATGTGTATTTTGATTGGCATGGATGCAATAAAGCCTGATAGTCATGCTTGTATTTTTTAAATTTTAATATGTCTCTCACCATTCACAGCAGTACTTGGTTTCAAAAAAAAAATGTCAAACTTATAAATGAATGTTTTAGCAGAGGGAGTTACAGTTTTAGTTCCTAACCATTATTAGGTGTCATTGTTGTCTGAAGTAAGTTCCATACCGACTGCCAGGAGGTGCTGTAATCGATGACAACTAAGAAGGCTGCACCCTGTTAGAATCTTAATATATATTCCATTAGATTGCGCTTCTGGCGGTTGATAGTTGTTAATTGGTAATCGAAGTTTTTTTTAATGATGAGTCATCCCATCCCAAGCTAGTCAATCTTTTGAACCTCTGACTAAGGACGTAGTTACTTGTATGAAAATACATATTTTAACGTATTGTACAGGTATATGATAACGGCAGAAGTGTAGAAAACGGAATGTCGGGAGGACCATGTAAATCAACCTGAATTGAAACAATAGTAGCTGCGGTGACTTTATTGGCCATCATAAGGAATAGGCAAGTTGAGATGACATTTGGCGCAGGCGATGCCTCAGTATTCAGATCAGCGGAACTTAGAATAACATGGTTTCTCCAGTCTTTTGGTATCGCTTTGATGATCTGTAGGTAGTTGATGAAGTGGATATTTAAATTAAATTTCTCGTTTAGTTTCGCGAGTGAGGTATCAATTTCTCTCTACTAGGTCTCCCAGAAATCTCAGAGGGTATGTCTGATATTCACGTTTATTTTCCAAAAAAATTACATTCATTAAATATTCAAAATCAGCAGGTGTATATTCAACATGCTAGTGTAGAGTTCTTTTAAAGGCGTGGATGATCTCTGATGTGCAGAGTCTATTCATCCACATTACTTTTGCTGTTTTGAAGCGCAGAGATGCTACAGGGATTTTTACTCCGCCGTATTTAGAATTTTGAGTTAAGATTTTCCGTTGAATTCTCTTGAGTCCTTTTGTAATTATGAATTGATAAATTTCGTCTTGTAAATCATTGATGAAATTTTTGGGGGGAGAGGGTAGGACAGAGGATAGAAAGTTTACCTTAGCGCAGTGGTTCCCAACCTTTTCTTGCCGCGACCCTAAATTGGGCATCGATGGGACCTCGCGACCCTCAGGCTTATGATAAAATTCAAATATGTATATCAATAGAAATACATATATGTATATGTAATTATATTGATTTTATTATTTATTTACGAGTATATTCGTGTATTAATTATTTAAAACTAAATAAATTTATTGGGAATTCAGGTACAAATCAAGTTTATTGAATGTCTTGATGCATACAAATGCACATTAAACATCATCAGTAGTTCAATCATATACAAAAATTAATTTGAAAACAGGCAAAAATGCTAATTGAAACGAAAAAATGCTTTAAATATTTCTCAGAAATCCCCATTTAACACAGACACCCATATCAACAAATAATTTTGATGAAAATGAGACACTTCATGTGAAGACGTTAGAAATCCTTCGGAATTCAGTGGCTACCCTGATGCTGCATTTTCTCGGTCAGTTTAGTTATCCTCGGCTGAATATTGATAGAGAGGGCACAGCGAAGGTCATGCTGCGGGTAAAGACGATTTCTTGCTCTTGTCTTGATTACAACCAGACTAGAAAATCCTGCCTCACAAAGATATGTAGTTGGAAAAGGAAGCAGAGCTTTCTCTGCCTCACGAGACAGAACAGGTTTACCCCGCAGCTGGGCCCAGAACT